CCATTTGATATATGGTATTGTTTAATTCAGATGTCTCTCTGTTAACTCTCTGCCCTGTTGACTTATCTAATGGAGACAGTGGGGTATTGAAGTCCCCTACTATTAATGAGTTGGCATTAATGTGGGTCTTAAAGTCCTTTAGTATTGTTTTTATGAAGTTGGTTGCACCAGAGTTTGGTGAATATATGTTCATGATTGTAATATCTTCTTGATTCATTGTTCCTTTGATCAAAAGGAAGTGGCCCTCTTTGTCTCTTCTGATTAGTCTTAGTTTAAAGTCTATTTTTTCAGATATTAGAATTGCTATGCCTGCTTTTCTCTTAGTGCCATTTGCTTGGTATATTTTTTTCCATCCTTTCTCTTTGAGATAGTGTCTGTCTTTGAAAGTGAGATGAGTTTTTTGCATACAACAAAAAATGGGTTTTGTTTCTTAATCCATTCACCTAGTCTGTATCTTTTGACTGGGGAGTTTAGTCCATTTATATTTAAAGTTATTAATGAAAGATGAGTATTGAATCCTGTCATTTTTATTTTTGTTTACATTCTTGATATAGCTGTGCTTTTCCATAGTTAAATCTTCATTGTATTTCTTTCCACAACCCCTTGGTTATTGTCATTCCTTTGATCTTCTTTGTATTGCTTCCAGAACTCTCTGAAGGGCTGGTTTTGGGGACATGAGTTCCTTCAGCCTATTTATGTCATGGAAGATATTTCTTTCCCCTTCACCTATAATAGACATTTTGGCTGGGTATAGTAGTCTGGTTTGGCATCTGTGGTCATTTAAAACTGGGAATACTTTGGTCCAGGCTCTTCTGGCTTTCATAGTTTGCACTGAAAAGTCAGCTGTAATCCTAATGGGTTTTCCTTTATATGTGACTTGTTGTTTCTCTTTTGCAGCTTTCAGTATTGTCTCTTTGTTTTGCACGTTTAGTGTTTTTACAATGTTGTACCATGGAGAATTTCTTTTCTGGTCCTGTCTGTTATGTGTTCTATATGCTCCTTTTATTTGTATGGGCATGTCTTTCTTTAATTTTGGGAAATTTTCTTCCATGATTCTGTTGAAGATCTGGTCCATGCCATTATCTTGGGATTCTTCTCCCTCCTGTATGCCTATGGTTCGTAAGTTTGGTCTTTTATGGTGTCACACAATTCCCGCGTCATTCCATTCTGGTGATTTCTTAAATTTTTCATACTCTTTGCTTGAGTGGTCTAGTTTGTCCACTTTATCTTCCAGTCTTGATACTCTGTTTTCCATTTCATTCATCCTATTGGTGAGGCTTTCTCTGGTCTGTTTTAATTAGCTTACTGAGTGCTTCACTTCCTTCTTCATTTCAGCCTGAGGATTCTTCAATATTTCCAGCCCTTTTCTGA